GCTGAATCTCTTCAAGTGCTTAACTTTTATGTAAGGGCTTTGGAGTTCAATAATTCATGTTAATGCAGCCAGCAGCGAGCAAATTGCATCCACACTCTATTCAGATTTTGATTACAAAACAGCCTGAATGAGTTTTATGATGGAACAATATTCGAGGTGACTTCAGCTGGCTGGAAGACAGTAAGTGTAATTATAGGCTGCAGGACTCTGAGGTCAGGCGAGCCTACGTCCATCTGGGTCTTCCATACTCTACTTGTGTAACTTTATCTGATGACAGTCATCACCTCCGAACTTCTGCTTCCTAGTCAATAAAACAGGATGATACTACCTACTTCATAGAGTTTTGAGATCACATGAATAACAGGTGAAAAGTTCAGCTGTACAAAAATGTAAGAAATATGTCTGCAGCCTGGCAGAGCCCAATAAACATTGGTGCCCCCTTTCTTCATTCACAGCCTCGGGCATCCTCACTCACCTCCTCCCCGCTTCTCCCCTCTCCTTTCTTTACTCCATCCCTTTCTGCCCCTCTCTACTCTTGTTGGTACATGGAAGTCAGTATTAACAGGGATTAAGCAAAATGAAGGGCGAGAAGATAAACAAGGTCTCTACTTTAAAAATAGAATTTGTAAGTCACTTCTGCAGTAGAGTACGCAGCTATGTGGAAAGGAAATGGGGTGGGGAAGATGAAGGCAGTCACACAGTTAGCACCATCTCAGAGTTTCAAAGTTTAGGCAATCATAAGCACTATGCACAGTTTTGACTTAATACATGCTCTCAATGCTCATTAAAATAAACAATCCACTTGCACTGGAAATATCCTCTAGAAATGAAGAAAGCAGATTAACAATTATAAAGCTTACATCAAAACTCCATTACCCAAATTTGAGTTCAAGTAAGATGTAGCTCACACCAGGAACATCACATTGGATGGCAGGAGAATGTAAGAAAACCACAGATGCCAAGTGTGGTGGTGCACACTGTAATCCCAGCACTTGGGAGGCTGAAGCAGCAGAACTGCTTCAAGTTCAAGGCCAGCCCTGGCTACAAACTGCATTCAAGGCCAGCCTGAACTACATAGTGAAACCCTGTCTTAAAACACACGCACACGCGTGCGCGCGCGCACACACACACACACACACACACACACAGTAATAATAATAATAATAATAACCTCCTAAGACACATGTCTTGCTCATTTGTCTACCCTTTTCCCCAGGGTGAGCCATGCTTCTGTGATTTTCTAACACCTGAGCTCTCTTCACTGTATCCATAATTTGATCCCATCAGCATTGCTACTCTGAGCTGCTTGGAATTTCCTTTTCAAGTGAATTTTACAGAGTTGGAAGATGTTTAAAGACCTGAATGATAAGCCAGGTGTGCTAGTTCCAGAACTTAGGAGGCTGAGGCAGGAGAGCACTGCAAGGCTGAGGCCAGCCTGGGCTACAAAGTGAATTCAAACCCAGCCTGAACTGCATTGAGAAATCCTGTCTCAAAAGAAAGAAAAAAGAACTGAATTAATGCTTCCCTAAATCCCACTATGAAGAGCAGGACTGTACAATGAGAGGTGACTACTATTTCAGAAAAGCACAAAATAAAATACAATTTCAATTAAACCTAAATTGCTTGAACTTTTAATTCTTTTAATTTGCCAAACTGACTTCAAACAAGATCAAGGTAAGGCCATTTCTGTATGGACAAACCACTTTCAATTAGAAAAAAAATTCATTTGAAAGGAAGTGAAACTATTCACAAGGAAAGAACAACTAGGATGGGAGAAAGATAGATAAATAATAGACATATAGAAATTACACAAAAAAAATTATACTTACTACTAATTTCTTTTAATTCATTGAAAAGGTCATTTGATGCTTATGTTGGCTGATTAATTTTGCATGCCTATATCTTGTAATCTGAGTAACTACTTTGAAGACAACATTATGCAATGTATTAACCACTGTTAACTTATTATCCTGTTTTGAAACTCTGCATCATTTTTATTTACTCTTCTGTCTTTAAAATAAAATTTTTTTAAAATGCATTTGAGTAAATTAACTATTTAGACAGACAACTGATTTGACAAGTAACAATTTATGAACTGATTTTTTAAAAACAAATTATTGCCCGGTTGGAATTTAGGGTGCTGGGAAACCAAGCAACCAGCCCACCTCCCTAGTAGACTGAGAATCAAACATCCCGTCCACGCCCTCCCCCCACCATTAGCAATGGGAGCCAGAGGTCTGAGCATCTCTTGGGAGGCTGACCATATGCAATATAGCAAATAGGGGGGATTTCCTTCTACCATCTCTTTGAAGGCCAATATTGTTATCACTGTTTTGCTTTGTTCTGATTAACTGTATTGCTCTATTCAATATTCTGCTTTGCTAAGTTCTATAATGTTCTGTATTTGGTTTGATTTTGCTATACCTGATTGAAAGAACAACTAATGTGAAGATAATGAGATATACTATGGCACCTATTATTGTTATCCTGGTAACCTGTTGTGACGTTCTGTACCAATTTCACTGCACTGTCTCAATTGGCTATGTTCTGTCTTGTTCTGTTGTATTTCACTATCTTCAAAATAAAAAAAATTTAAAAAATAAAACCACTTTGGAGGCTGGTGACAATAGAGTATAAAAAGAAAAAAAAAAACCCACCAGTGATTGGTTTCCTTCTAATTGTATCTTGTTTGAGCTTTCTAATGACTCAAACACTCACAGAACTCACAATTTCTAGAGAAAGTTTAAGACAAAATACATCTCATCACTCTCATGCATTTTCTATTTTCAAAGGGTTTTCTTCTCAGTTTTCTTTCTAACACTGAGGAGTAGGTAGAACTGGTACCATAACTTTTCCATTAAAAAGATTATAATTTTTAATGATTCCATTAAAAATGTTATTTATTCTTATTAAGATGATTTTGCACAGCAAAAGAAATCACCAACAAAGGAAAAAGACAACCCACAGAGAGAGAAACATAATTTAGTCAGTTGTTCCTCAGACAAAGGACTGATAGCTAGAACATTAGAAGAATTGAAAAGAATCAATTTCCCAAAATTTAAAGACTCACTCCAAAAATGGACATCTGAGGTAAATACACATTTCGCAGATGAAGATGTAGAAACAGCAAACAGATGAAAAAAATGTTGAACATCACCGGTCATTCGAAACATGCAAATTAGAACAGTGCTAAGATTCCTCTCACTCCAGAAAGAGTGGCTATCATCAAGAAACCAACCAGTAACAAGTACTGGTGGGGCTGTGAAGAAAAAGGAACCTTTCTCACCGTAGGTAGAAGTGTAAACTGGTGCAACCACTGTGGAACTCGGTGTAGAGATTTCTCAAAAATCTAGTAGGACTTTAGGTCCCATTTGGCCAGCCATTCCCCTTCTTAGTAACTTCCCAAAGGAATTAAAAGCATCAAAGGATGATCTTGAAGGCCTTCATAGGCAAATGGAGACAACCTGAGGCTATCCTCATTAGTGAAATAAATAAGAATCATATTTATAAATATCACATTGTGTCTCTAGTGTAAAAAGTAATAAGAAATTAGGAGCAATAAAAACCAAAATGTGTAATTGCTATTGTAAAAAAGAGAGGAAAAGAAAGTGCTCTAAAGGCTATAACTCCATGTATGTTTAATTGTATAGGATTGATAACCATATTACTAGGTTTTTGTTGTATCATTGAACCGTACCGTTTGCAGTTTCACTGTTTGAATGTCCACTTTGTATGCTCCACTTTTATAACTTGAACAACTATTTCTAAGAGGAAAAAATGTAATTATTAACTAGTGATTTCTTATTGTTTCTTTTTTTTTTGAAATTATACATTATTGTTACCCTTTTTCTGTTTTTTTTTCCTTAAATAAAATTAAAAGCATCATATCACAGCAATATATACACATACATGTTTATAGAAGCACAGTTTCTAATAGCTAAATCTTGGAAACAACCCAAATGCCCATCAGTCAATGAATGGACAGAAAGGATGTGGGATTTTTTTAATGCAATGGAATACTAGTTGGCCATAAAGAAGAATAAGCATAAGACATTTCTAGCTAAATGAATGCACTTTGCAGCCACACTCTTAAGTGCAATAAATCAGACACACATGTTTAAACACCGCATTGTCTCTCTGGTGTGAGAAACCAAAAGTGTACATAAGAACCAAAATCTATAACAGATACGGGGAAATGGGAAGAAATGTTCAAAAGAGGAGGGGAACTACGAGAAGGGAGGTAGAAAGGAAAGAAGAGAGAAAAAAATAAGAAAAGGATAAAGTGGAAACAAAGCTTTCTATTTGGGGGAAGAAGAGAAGAGTTGAAGGGAGGAAAAGGGAATGGGGGAAAAAGAGGAATCAAGATATATCACGTACAGGTATAAATTCCCTAAGATGAACATGATCATTATATATATATCTGAATTGTGTCAATAAGCTTAGTAAAAGAAAAAAAATGAATGTGATTTAGTTAGCACATATTATATGTAGGCTAGATGTTAGATGCATTACAAATATTTTTATTGCTCAAAACAACCCTAATGAGGGAGGCATTCTGTCAATATTTCACTTTATAAATGAATACAATTTAAGAAAAATTAATTATAATCACACAAGTGGGAAGAGGTGAGACTGGAATTCAAAATCAGTTCAGGCTCAGAGTTGCTGACTCAGAACGAGTCACTCAAGTTCACTTACTTGTGGGTAAAACCCAAAACTTTGTGCCTGGCTCTGGAATCAGGCAGCCTGAGTTAAGATTTTGTATCAGCCATTTTTCAGCTGTGTCACTGTATGCAAATTATTAAAGCACTCTGGGTCTCAGTCACCCTATCTGATAAATGGGGATAATGACTGTCTATCTAAAGGACTATCTAGACTAAACAGCATGATACACACCACGCACCCATAGGTTGCACTTTGAAATTAGTTATTAAAATTATACTTTCTGTCCCTCCAGCCTCTAAGCTAAGTGTATATTTTATTGGTCTGTGCCACTGCAGGTACCTCGAGCAAAGGCCTTATGCAACTACAGAGGTCACAACCCTGGTGACTTGAGGTTTAATAAGGGAGATGTCATCCTGCTCCGGAGACAGCTGGATGAGAACTGGTACCAGGGAGAGATCAATGGCGTCAGCGGGGTCTTCCCAGCCAGCTCCGTGGAGGTCATCAAGCAGCTGCCCCAGCCGCCCCCACTCTGCAGGGCCCTCTACAACTTCGACCTCCGAGACAAGGGCAAGAGTGACAGCAAGGACTGCCTGACTTTCCTCAAGGTAAGATGCTGGATGGCCACAAGGGGACAAAAGCATACAAATTTTACACATGTGTGCAGGTGTACATAAATATCTATTTTTTATATGTTCATATAATCCAAACTACATGGAAGTAAAATCTGTAGAGCAATTTAGTTAACTATCTAGGAGAAATATTTAAGGCTTTTCTATTGCAAACTCAAAAATAAGTATTTCTGAGCACTTATTCTTTGCAGGCACCAAGGACAGTCACATTTCTTGTTCTGCTGGTAGAGCAACAAGAGAAACAAATACGTAGACCAAGCATTACAAACACAGTTGGCTATCATGCTAAGCCAGCCAACACCCCTGCCTCTTATCACGTACCTGTAAGGGCATTCTTTCTCCCTAAGTTATGGTCACCTAATTCTACTCACCCACAACCTTTTATTTTGTTGTAAACACAGTATTCAAAACACTCCAAACATAACATAATCATACCTTTATATACAAATAACCTCTTACAGTATGTATTTTCCAAGCACATTAATTACCTTTTTTTTTGGCTTCTCTTTTTCATTGGATGTTTCTTCACCATTTGCCAAGTAATGACAGTCCTACACTACTTCAAGTCTCTGGATGCAGTATGTGTTATTCCACAGACATTCCAATATTCTTGTAGCAATCAATACTGGAGTTACTTTCATTGTGTGCTACTTAGAACAAATAGATCGATATAAGTATAAAAAGTAGCACTGCTGCCAACAGCTCGATGAAGGGTTTCTGTTTTATAAGACATTTGCATTTTACTAATACTAGAAGTCAGGCTTACTGCAGAGTCTCTCGAACCCGAAAAACACACTGCCTTCCATATTTCAAAATAATGATTTTTATTATTTTCTTAGCGTTGCAAAGGTCTGAACAACAAAATTGTACGTAGCCTGTGGTTACAGGATGAACCGTTCAATTCCACAGTGTTTAATGAATCTTTACTTTGTGCTTTGCGTGAGACACAGACCTCTGAGAGAGCTGGAGGGAAACACAAGAAGGAGCGATGATCTGCTTCCCCGACTCTCTTCGGGAATCTGCAAACAGTGACACTTTCTCCCCATTCATTCCTTTCTTGAGTCCATCTATGTGCCAGGTTGGCCACTCAGATAACACAAGGAGTTAGTATCCCCACCTTCACTAAGCTGGTAGTTTAATACAGAAACAGATGCATAAATGGAAAAAATACGGTAAAAGAGCCAGAAAGAGAGTTTGGTCCATTCTGAAAGCCTATGGAGCGCTGAGCCTTCACTAAGAAATCTTACAGTCTTCCTAAACTCAACATATCCAAGACCCTCCCTCCAAAACTGCTCTCTTCCTAGTGCTTTCTTATCTTAAAAAGCTGTACATTTATTCATGCATTCATGGCTTTGCTCATGCTTGCCTGTGTCCAAGACACATTATCGGACACATTACATTAGGTGCTGGAAACACCAGAGATACACAAAATAGACACAAGTCTTACACACATGGAGTTTATGGTCTGAGAGGGTGGAAAGGCATTAAAAACTAATAATCTACCACTGTGTAATCACAAATTATGAGGACAGGGAAAGCTAAGGAAGGCACAGTGTAGCAAATTTAGATACAAATTAATCTAAAATACTTCGTATGCTTTACTTTTGTAACTTAAACAACTATTTCTAAGAGGACAGTATGTAATTATCAACTAGTGATTTCTTACTTTTTTTTGAAATTATATATTATTTCTACCCTTTTTCTGTTTTTTCTCTTTAAATAAAATTTTTTAAAAATAAAAATAAAATAAAATACTGAGAAGCATGGAACAGAGGTTACAGAGTCCAGAAAAGCTCTAGTGGATGAATATACTGATGAACATGTATGAACATGGAAAAGTGATTCTGATGCGATATTAAGCAAGCAGTCTGTAAGGCTGAGCCTGGTGGCATACGCCTGTAAGCCCAGTACTCAGCTGGCTGAGGCAGGAGGATCACTGTAAGTTTGAGGCCAGTCTGGGCTACAAAGTCAGTTGAAGGCCAGTCTGAACTTTACAGTGAAACCCTGTCTCAAAAACACAAAAAAATTTTTTCAAAAAGCAAGCAATCTCTGTGTCCTGTACAACTTCATTTGTATGAAGCACAGGAATACACAAAATGAATGTATAGTACTAGAAGTCAGAATGGTGGTTACCTTTAGCTAGAGGTTAAGAAAGGACATGAAGGAACCTTCTGGATACCAAGTTCTGTATCCTAAGTTATATACCTGGTTCATGGTTATAGCCAAATGTCAAATTCTTTCCAACTTCACATCTAAGACTTACATACTCTCTTCGTGTATGCATGCTTTCAGAGAGATTTTTCAAATCAGAGTATTTCTATATACACATACTTCACCTGGATATAAAGGGATCAGGAGAATGGGTTTGCCAAATGGTTGTATTAGGGCCTGGGGTTTAGCTCAACAGCCTAGGTGCCTGCACTGGCCATAGCACAAGGTCGTGAGTACCAAAAGAAAAAAAAAAGGTTTTATCTATATTGTGGTAGAATATTTTCCTTGTTTATCTGTATTATCAAATGTTTCCACAAATTTAAATATACACTTTTGTAGTAAGAAAAATGTGTATAAAGAGCTGCTATGTTTAATACATTAAAATGGAATCGCTTCTTGAAAGTCTTGAGAATGAACATGACTTTTTTTTTTTTTTTTTTTTTTTTTTTTTGCCAAACTAAAAGCATGTCTCTCTGTGGCTTCCATCTTGATTTCTCAGATTAATTTAAATGAAAAATTTAAATTCTGCAGGAGATTAAAAATTACAAATATTGGCAACTTTTGCTATTAATTCCATTATGCCTTCAAGTTATTTCTATTCCTTTTACAGTTTTTATGAACTAAATGCTGCCCTTTTATAGAAAAAATTCATTTTAGCAGAAAGATTTGATCTCAAAATCATTCAAGAACTATATCCTTTTACATCATAAACCACTCGGGATTCCAGACGGATGTCCACTGAAAGAAAGCCTTTGTCCCCTGAAAACTGAGAGTAAATGCTGACTTGGCACTTTTTCTTTCAGGATGACATCATCACTGTGATCAGCCGAGTGGATGAGAACTGGGCTGAAGGCAAGTTAGGAGATAAAGTAGGCATCTTCCCTATCTTGTTTGTAGAGGTACGTGAGTCACAAGTCTACATCTGATCCACACTGACTCAGAAACATGCGTGTGTCCCAGGGAGGCCTCAGAGCAAATCCTACTGCACATGAGTCTTATTTCAGAATTACCTAAAGTCTCTAATGAAAAGATGCCACACAATAATGCCCAACTCTGGGAAGGTGTAGGGAAACGGATCATTTCCATTCTGCGGCTGGGATGTACATTGGTGAAATCTCTAATATCCAAGTTCACATAAACTCCCATCACAAACCGTAAAATATGTACCTCTTCGTAGTACTACATCTGAGAATTTCTAGTAAGGAAGTATTTAGATAAGCATGCAAAAATATACATACAAATGTGAAAAATATTTATCATAGCATTGTGTATAGTGCTGAAAATTTAAATTAATATAAATACTCAATAACAAAGTTTTTAAAAAAAATTATAGTGATAGAAAAATATAGTTCCTTTAAAATGTTGTGAAATAATATTTAATATCACACAGTATTAGATAGTATAGAAAAATTTAAGATTATCAAGTTAAAAATAAATTTAAGGAGTGTAGACTTTCACATTCACAAGATGAAAAGGTTCTAGAAATCTATTTCATAACAGTGTGAATATATTCAACATTGCTGAGCTGTAACGCACATTACCGAACACTACTGAAATGGTAAATTTTATATATGTTTTCTACAGTGATAAAAATATTAAACTATGTGAAACTAGCTTTATAAATATATGTGTGTATATAAATAGATAACCAACTAGAAGAATGTGTACCAAAATATTAATAGTAGTGATCACTACATTGTGAGATGCTGGGTGATTCTCATTATCTTCTGTCAACTTGTGTTTTCTAAATCTTCTGAGATGAGCGTATATTTATTTCTTCAGTGGTTTGTTTTTTGAAGCTATCATTTTTAAAAAGAAAAGAAAAACCTGATGAGCTACCCACCTATTTCTTTGGTATAATAATGTAATCCACTGTGTTACGAGCCTCACCCTTGCTCAAAGCAAAGCATCACAAACGTAAAAGAGAGGTTTCATTGTTTTGCTGCATTTCGTAGATGCTTACCATGCAGAAAGCATTAAAAATGAGAACTAGGGAGCTGTCAAAGAAGTAGAAATAGTAGTCTCCACCCTGGAAAGGGCAGGGTGAGAGAGAACAGAGACATGAATGCACGGAGGAGACCAGTTCTTCTGTTCCTCAGAGCTGAAGCTGGTTCGGAATGAAGCCATGCCCAGAGCACTGGCTGCTGTTCAGGTTCTCTCTATCCCTCTACTCAGAGTGTTGAAGCAATGGAACAACCGAAAGACGGGATGGAAAGGGGGTCCGCAAAGATTGTCCTTTTTACTGTTGCCACTAGAAGATCTTGTTCCTAGTGCTCTCCTCTTCCTGCGGCCCTTCTAAGAACACTCACCCAGCACTGTCTACCTGTTCCGATTTCACTTACTCTGTAAGGGTCAGTTAGCAACCCACACCCTCCATAAAATTTCAGCAATGCTCAGTTTATTTCCTCGGTGAACACCTGACAGGTGTACTCACTGTACCTTACAAGCTACCCTAACACAGAATAGGTGCTTGGCAAAAAATTAACTGGCCGCACGTGTATAAGATCCTAGGTTCAATTCCTAGCACCACAAAAAGAAAAAATGGCAATAAATGGATGGATGAAAAACTATTTGAAAATGGTCAGAAAAATTTTAGAAAACAAACTCTTCAGTGAGACTCAATCCTAAACACACATTCAGTCATTCAACTAATGTTTCGCTGAGTGCCTGCTATGTCAGGTCCTGTGCGAAGTCTTAAGATTTAAGACAGATATGGACTCCTACTCTCAGAAACTACCCAATCAGACATTCAGGAATTTGTAAGTGTGACAAATGATTCAAAATGTGAAGGAGAAGGAACTGTTAGGGGCCATGATGTGCAGTTCCCTTGGTATGAGGTCAGCAAATGCCACTTAAGACACGGTGTGATAGACGTTTAGGGTGAGCGAGGTAAGTTTGGAGGGAACAGCATTTTAGGGAATGGAGTAGCAGCTGCGTGATGAGGAACTATAATGTATCCAAAGAACCAAGAGTTCCAGACCTGGAGTTTAGAAAAGAAGAGGATAACAAAAATGAAGCCTGGGAGACACCTGAAGACACACTACAGATGACTCTGTAAGCCATGTTGTACAGTCAGATGGTCTAGGTTATGCTGCCAACAAACAGCACCAAAGACTCAGTGCCTTAACAAAGGGAACTTTATTTCTCACCTGCATTCATGTTTAGTGCAGGATAATAAGCGGTTCTGCTCACACAGAAACCCAGACTCATAAGCAAGGCCATCTCATAACTGCACTATATGAAACACGTGAATGTCTTAGTTTCCAGGCAGTGAAAGAGTGGATTGTGAACCAGCAGTTGAACGCCCCAGCACAGAAGTGACCCTTCCTACTCCCATCCTTAGCCCTCCAGCCTCACACAAGCTCTCCTGACTGCAAGGCAGCTGAGCAGTACAGGGAAGCTTGGAATACCTGGTGACTACTGCCTCAGTCACTTCTTAAGAAGTTTGGATTTGACACAAAGGCCAACAGAAACCATTGAAAAAGTAAGGAAGTGACCCGATCAGACTTGGGTTCTGTAATGGCTGCTCTGGCTGCAGAGGGAAGAGTCATTTGAAAATGAGGGAGAAAAAAACCAGAAAGACTGGTTAGGAAGGTGGTGCATGGCTGGGTTCCAAGAGGAGACTGGAAAGAAGTTTAAAGAGTCAAGGCCCTCTTGTCAGTAGAATCCCTAGGACTGGGGAATTGTCCAAGTGGAGGGCAGGAGGGGAGTGATCAAGGGCAGCCCTACACTGGGATTTGTGTGTCTCAGTTGCATTGGAGCTATTTAATGGGTGAAGCAACATTTACCGAGTGAGAACAATAGCAGTAATTGGGAGACAGTGGTTAATTCTCCAAGGCCAGAGACCAGCAGCAATCAGTACCTAATTGGACACAAAGGAGATGTGCAACTTTTGCATGGTCCCCTGCATTAATTTTAGATGATATTTCATACCTCTGAGGGGGAAAGGCACCACTGATGTTATTACCTTAAAATAAAATGATTATTTTTATTTCAGAAACCCTTTTTTCCCAAAACTTCTACATTTAATGATTATTCATTTGGAGACTTTGCCTTCCACTTTACCTCTAAAATTAGTGATTACAAGTACCCTCAAAATTATCATCAAGCTAGCCATTGCTTCATTTGTTCTCCTAATTGCTAGGAGGGGGATAAGATAATCAAGTGGTTGCTCTAATCGGGAACCTGCTTTTCAAAAATTACTTGAAATCTAAATTGAGCTTTTTAAAGCAGTACTTAAATTCTGACTCCAGTAATTTCATTAAGACTAGCACTTGCTGAGAATTCTTTAAATAAGCTTTGAATTACCAGCGCCATGCAAAGCCGCTGGAAGGAAGGAAGTCTTCTTATGGGGATTTGGGCGGGGGCATACACAGAATTTTTCTTGTTAGTGTATCCTTTGATTTATTGAATTGTACCTGCATAAAAAGTAGCAAAACAAATGCTGAGCTTATGGCTGTTCCTGTCAGAACTCCTCCAGCAGGGTCTGCCTCAATTGTATGAACTTTGCTCAAAGCAATGAACCTCAAGGATATTGTTGCAAATGAGTGGGTACAAACCTAAGAGACCTGCAGTTACTCCCAGCCGAGCCATTCATCACGCCAGCAGCCCACAAGGCAGACGCACTATCTCAGGGGGCCCTGTGTCAGGGTCACCGATAAGAAAACCGATGGTGGCACCCCCCTGGGGGCAGAATGATTAGGACTAAAGCACAGAAATTAACTCATTTCATTAAAGCTATAAATGGTAGAAAAGAAGATTATTCATCGATTCAAAGAATGTACATTGTCCTCTTATTGGACACGTGCTGGTGGGGTCAGTGCCCTGGGCACATGACCACTGTCCCCGGTTCCCAAGCTACCATCAGAGCCCCCTCACCCTGAACACTTTCAGTTACTTCCTAAGTGGTTTCCCTGCTTCTGTTCTGGCATTACTGAATAAAGACCAGAATGAACCTTTTAATTTATTTATGTATGTTTGCTTTAATGGTTATAAGCTTTCATAAATGCATACAATCATATAGCCATACCACATTCCAGAGAGAAAACTGTTCCAACACTGCAAATCCCTCACGGTGGCCCCCTGTGGAGTTAGTTCCTCCCCTGACTTCCACACCAGATGACCACTGATTTACTTTCTCTTCCTATGGGTTTCTTGTTCAAGAAGGTCATATATATACAGGGCACCTTGCTCATTTTTACTTCCCCTTCTCTCATCCCGCCCTCCCCTCTCCTTCCCCAGATCCCCTCCCACTGCCCGGTGCTACGTCCCTGTTTCCTGCTGTCTCTCTTTTGTTTGCTCTAAATTACTTATATTTTCAGTTTCTCATATCAGAGAAACCATGTGATATTTAACCTTCCTTGCCTGATTTATTTCACTTAGCATTAAGCAGAATGTAGTTCTTTGAGGTCAGCTTCTTTCATTTTGCACAATACAGTCAAGATTCATTGTATATTTATTGCTGAGTAATATTTCGTTGTATGAATGCACTGGAGTTGCTCTATTTCGTAGTTGAAAGAGATTGGAGTTATTTGCCAATGTTGACAACTATGAATAAAGCTACTATTTTCTCAGAAGCCTGAGACCGTGAGCTGGAAGCCAGCCTGGCTGACACATCAAGACCGATTTCAAAAAGAAGGACAAAGAGGGGGTGGGAGCTCCTATAAACATTTGCATAGCAGTTTTTTTTAAGTTTTATTTCTCTTGAATAATTACCTAGGAGTGGGATTGTTGGGTCAGATGCTAAAGACAAGTTTAACTATAAGAGATTGCCAGATAGTAACATGAGCTTTTAAAAGCATAGATCAGGTCATGTCATTCCTCTACTGAAATCTTCCCAAAGGTTTCCATTACACTTAAAATAAAATCGAAGCCTGCGGTCCCTGTGTGATCCAGCTCCTGCCTGCCTGTGCAGCCTGCACTTTTACTGCTTCTCCTCACCAGCTTTGTTCCAGCCTTCTATTTCTCTCTTCTGTCCTTCCCACTGGCTGCTAATCCTGGTGACATGTCCCTGCTCCTATTTTCACAGGGCCAACTCCTCGTCCTTTGTTGCCTCAGCTTATGTGTCATCTTGTGAGGGTTTTCTTTGGCCTCCCAACCTAACATAACCTCTTCCTCAATCACTCGGTCACATTGGAGAACTTGCTAGCATCTGATATTTTCTCATTGTGTAGTCTTCGTGTTGGTTCTGTCACGAATGTCAGCTCTAGGTCTCCGCTCGCTGATCTTTAATGTGAACATAATAATACCCACTCCTCTACTTGATGAGTCTTTCACAATATGACAAGCTTCCTAAAGCAAGAACTGCATCTTCTTTAAAGCTCTCCTATGTCAGTTATTTTAATCTTTCTGTACATTGTCCTTTTAAAAAATTTTAAGTGCAAAATCCTTTTTTTTTTTTTGACTATAGCTGAATTTCTAAATTAGAATGAGATGCAGTTTTAAGAGAACAACTGGTGATGATTTGTAATAAGGGAGACTTAAGTAATTATCCTGAAAATTAAGAGTTAATTCACATGAACCCTTGTTTTATTGATATATTTTAGATTTGCAAAGGAAATGAATCCACAGGAATCCCCAGTGGGCATGGCTTTCAACAGATATTTCTGGTGGAAACTTATTCAACATAGAGGAGAAGGCGGATAGTAACACAGTGGTGTACTGAAGCTGACTGGTACTAGGTGGAAAGAACAAGTTGTTACATTTCCAAGAATTATGTTACTCAACTACTAAACCCATTGGTAGAATGGTAAACTGTACAAATTGAGGCTTTATCCTTTTTCTTTTTTGAGAGCTGTATCACCAGCACACCACTGACTAGGAAGTCTAGGACAGTAAGAAAAGATAAAGAAACCAAAGACCAAAGTATTGAAAGGAAGGGATAAAAGACAGCCTTAGTACAGGGATTCAGGGTCCTGAATGCATTTACATTCTGGCTCAGATGCTTTTCGAATGTGCTGACTTGGGGAACTTCATTCACTCATTGTTCCACAAATACTCCCTAAGCATCCATCCTGTGATATGGGACAGGAAATATAAACTTCCTCCCCTGGGTGGTTAGCAAACCAACCAGCAGAAGAAAGGCAAATAAATAAATAAAAATGTGGAATGGAAAGTACAGCGATGGGGACGCAGAGGGGCTGCTGGGCACCGAGAAGGGCGAGTAGCCCCCATCGGGCTTCCGGGAGAGTGACGCAAGAGGGGAAGGTCCACTGTGGTGAACGTGCTGGGAGAACCAGGGAAAGGGAGAGTGTTTGGGGCTGGACAAGAATGTTCTGCTCTAGCTTTAACCTCTTCAAACCATAGTAAAGGGTGATGCCTACAAGACAGAGGTCACAATCACTGGATAGAACAAAGTAGCAGGGCCACGTTCATAAAAAGGAAGCTGCTCTCAGGTCGACCCAGGAATGGCCACCTGAACCAAATACTAAGGAGGTGGCATCTGACCTGGCTCTAGACTAGCCTGGCTGGGACTTGGCTGTTCACATTAGATCAGAAAGATTAATTTCTTATCGGACCTTTTGTCTTATCAGCCAAACCTCACTGCAAGACACCTCCTAGAAAAGAACAAAGGATGTCAGTCATCCTGCACAAAAACGCTGTCCCTGGCATCCTCATCCCCCAGAAGCAAGACAGCCAATACGCCTACACTCCGTAGGGTTCCGGGGTCCAGGAGGAAGGGACCTGGGCAGTTCTCCATTACAACAGCCTTGAACACTCTCAACCGGATGGTCCACTCTCCTTCGGGGCGCCACATGGTGGAGATCAGCACCCCAGTGCTCATCAACTCCAGCAACCCCTCTGTGTTCACCCAGCCCTTGGAGAAGGCAGACTTCTCTCTCAACTCTGCTGGACAGGTAGGGATCTCTGGGGTAAGGGGGCCTAGGAGGTAAGCAAGGGATCCGTACCATGTCACAAGCAATACTTGTTGTTGAGTACTGACTAACCACCCATAATGCATGAATATTAACCAATGTTGTATGCACTATATATTAGAACTGTACATACATGATCACATTGAGTTAGGTATTATTGGCGCAATTTTCAGATGAAGAAACTGAGTCCTAGAGAAGTTGGACAACTCCTCCAAATAGTGGTATTTACTTTTCTTTTTCCCATACTTTTTATTACTACATATTAATTTTTTAAATATTGAGTTTCCTTGTGGCATTTTCACTCATGAATATAATGTATTGTGACTATATCCATTCTTTCTCATGCCCCTTTCCCTTTATTCCAATCCTCTTGTCTAAGAACAGCCTCCCTTCACAGACACCTTTCTATCCCATGCTAAATGCCATTACATGACTGCGGCCCCTTCAAGGAGATGATGACCCATTTTCCAGAGATGGCTTGGTCATCACAATGTGAAACTCACTACCCCATCCTCTGGAAATGTATTAGGCATCAGAAAGGAAGCAAAATGGTTACTGAGTATTCTGACAACAGACTACAAATTGACTACATGATTTGAGGGCCCAATGTCAAGTGAAATTGCAAGTTACCTGCTCAAAAATGATAAAGAATTTCAAGATGACAACAGCAGAGCATTAAACCAAGCAATGGCCCTGAGTGACCATAATAGTCACACACTCAGGAAGCCACCCCCGGTATCTCCATATGAAGCACCTAATGAGGTAATGTATGGAAAGTGCTTAAAACACAGATGCCTAACACATTCTAAGCTCCCAGTAATCATTAGCTCTTTATACTGTCTTTATTATTAACCCTGAAGAGAAATACGCCATGATACACTATGGCAATTCAAAAACTGAAGTATTCCTGATAGAATGTGGCTATTTAGGTTGAAGGGCACTTTAAAGATGAAGGAGCAGAAATCTGAGGCAAAGTAATTAAGAAGAACTGCACGTTGGGTGTTCAGTTGAAAACACTCTGGAATCATGCAGGTGCCAACTCGAAAGGACAGACCTCAACCTGTACTGATGTCTTTTTTTAAGAAGCTGTGAATCTTGTTTTTAAACGTGAATTTCTACCTTGGGATTAAATAGCTTAATTGGACTCTAATCCCTTTTTAACAAGACAAGAAGGAAGGAGAAAGTCAAGGGCTCCTCAAAGACCTGAGTGCTGGTCTGAAAGGAAAACAGTCACTCCTACAACACTTTATATCTTTTTTTTACATTTTCAGAGCATGATATTTACTTTCTTTGTAGGCAGTTGATACATGCACATTGAGCATCCCAATTCCTTTTTCCTATTCTTTCCATCCATCCATTTCCACCCTCCATCTCTTGATCCCGTTCTCATTTGACAAAGATTTAGCTCCCTAATTTCTACTGTCTTTTATTTTCTTATTTATTTATACTTTGAATTTCTCATATAAGAGACTATGCAATATTTAAACATGCATGTCTGAAGTATTTCACTTAACATTATGGTCTCATGGTGCATCCATTTTCCTATGAATGACTCAAGTTCATCTTTCTTTATGGCAAAGTATTCTCCATTATGTGTAAATACCACGTTTTCTTTATCCATTAATCTGCTGATGGATGTACAGGCTGCTTCCAAGACTTGCTATTATGAATTATGCTGCTATAAACATGGGTATGTGTATGTCCCCTTCTAGGTGTCTTCCCAAAAAGTTAAACGCTTTATGTCTTATACTATGTCTGAATCACTAATAGGTTGGCTGCTCACCACCCCCTGCACTATGCACACATACACACATCCACAAACACACACACATACACTTTATCCATAGACACTCTCTTGCATTTAAAAGAAAAACTTCATACACACACATTTCAAACACATTTTTACTAATACATACATGATTTCTGCCCAAGCTCTTCTTTAAAGCACACACACATACACAGGCTCACACATATGTGCATTGACACCCTAAAACAAGGATTTGATGAGTCACAGTGAAGCCAGAGTGGCAGAACTTTTTGAAACCATTCTGTATATACACACATAGATATATAAAGTACAGCCCACATGCAGTACAAATAAGCAGCCCACTCAGCTGTGAGCTGGCTTCTAAAAGTTGTAGCCAACAGTCATCTTCCCTATGCCTTTCAAATTCTTATTCCTGGTCACTTCACTCCTCTACTGAGAAGCTGATCCAGAGTTAGAGAATCATAACAGGATTCAAAGCAAGTAGTATTTCTTCTTAGTTTCTACAAATAATGAGAATTCCAAAGTACAGCCTTCATGTAGCCTTCTCTCAGGGAATCAATGCATAATATTAGCATGCTTTCTCAGTTCACATGGTTGTGGATTATATGGGAGGGTTGGGGGTTTGTTGTTGTTGTTGTTATTGTTGTTTTGTACCAGCACAACCTTGTGCTTGCAAACAGGTGCTTATGCCGCTGAGCTAAACCCCTAGGCCTATATGTATTTCATATGTTTGTCTCAGTGTTATCAAAACACAGGGAAAATGCCCCTGTACAAGCTAAAGACAAGCGGGAAATTGAACAAGTGACACATTCTCTTGCTTCCTTTATCTCCAACATCCTTGAGATTTGTGGTTAGAGCTAGTTTATCAAGTTCCCCCTACTTCCCCACTCTGGCACCTCACATGAGCCTTGACCCTATTAGGTACTCAACAAACCAAAGAATCAGAACTATTGGCTCAAATATCTAGAAATATGGTATTATATACTCAGGGACGTTTGGAGAAAAAATTTCCTGTAGAAAAATCACAGGTCACTGTAACTCTTTCAATCAATAAATCTCCATTGAAAATATAGAATGTGCTAGTAACCACAGTGACTACTTCCAAGCCAAGGAAATAACACTAATCTCAGACTTTACTGAGATCAATATGAGATGAACAGATAGACAGACATAGATAGATAAATAGACAGACAGACAGACAGACGGATGGATAGATTCTATAGTAAATAGCTGGATGATATCCTCTAAGACAGTCTTCTTTTGTTGCCAGCCTCCTAAAGCCTCCTCCTACTGTGGTAGAAATAAGTCTCTAATTGTCCCTCAAGCCTAAAACACCAAAGAGCTGTGACTACCTCCTCATAAAGAAAAGTCAGAATAGAATTTCATTTTCCCATGGTCTCTACATCTTCCTACCTGTGGGAAACCACCTGACACTTCTGTGTAGAAAAATCAAGAAATAACCTCCAAGATGAACTGTAATTATCAACTAAAAATATAACAAACAACTGCATGTGGTATTAGAGTTCAGTCTCCAGAACGACCAGAAGAAAAAACTGCATTTAAATTCAGGATCAGACCGGGAAGATCCTGAGTATGTTCTGTGAAAGACTTTGGTGAAGAAAATAAGTAGGTTTGTTGGCCTTTGGAAAAGTCATGAGATTCTCTCTGAGTCCATCCTGAGAAAAAATGCCTTACACTAATAAACACAGCTGCATAAGACACAAATTGGAAGCTGGGTGTAGTGGCTCACACCTGTAATCCCAGAACTCTAGGGAGGCTGAGGCAGCAGGATCGTTGAGAGTTCGAGACTAGCCTGGGCTACAAAGTGAACTCAAGGCCAGCCTGAACTGCATAGTGGGCCCTATCTCAAACAAACAAACAAACAAACAAAGACACAAATTTGAAAAGTTCCTCAACAATACAATGCCTCAAGCAGGCATGGGTGGTGCATGCCTGTTATCCCAGCACTCGGGAGGCTGAGGCAGGAGGATCACTGCCTGGGCTACATAGTGAGACCCTGTCTCAAAAAGAAAAAAAAATGCCACTTGGGGGAACTCACAAGTACAAAACCTTCGTCCCCTGGTGATTCCAAAATTGACTTGATTCAGGATCTGGGGCCCGTTGCCCTCTCCTTACTCGCAGAAAAATGAGGTGTTCATATTTTCTCTACCAGCAGGCTTCCTAAAAGGTTCTCATTCTTCAGCCTACCGTCTTCCTCCTGTCGCACTAGTGTTAGTACACCCAAGGCCCTCCTTCAGCCTCCTGCTCCGTGGGTACCACAGATCCACCACTGGAAAGCTCTCCTTCCCTTACCTCCTATATCCAGGAGTCAGCAAGCTCACGTGCCACCTAAATAACTTCCTGCTTGCCCATTCCATGCCACTGCCTTCTTTTTGGCTCTCATCTCTTGCCTAAATTATCGCTCCCACCTCCTCACTGCGCCCCCACGATGTTCACTGCATCTCACCCTACCTGATACTTCCACCCTCTCATTTTTCCAATCACAGCTTCCACAGGGATTTCAAACCCAAACCCTTCCAGCCGTATCTCTCCCCCAAACCTCCAATGATTCCCAATAGCCTGAGGAACAGTTCTATGTGCTATTTATTTTCACTAAAAAGCAAACCCTATTAAGAGATGACTTATAAGCAGGATAAAGAGACGATTTGTAAGCATGGTAACTATTCTTACAACTGTTTAGTTTAGGGATTGCTGTATCATTTTACCAAATGGGGAAGTTTTGACAGAAGGAATAGGTAACTTGCCAAAGTTTCAAAGCTAGAAACCATGCTAAAGTTTGAGGGCAGATCTATGTCCTCTCTCTTAAATTAGTTTTTTTTTTTTTTTTTTTTTTTTTTTTTTTGTCTTTTTCCTTTTTATCGGTACCGGGGATCGAACTCACGACTGCCTGCTTGCAAGGCAGGCGCTTATGCCGCTGAGCTAAATCCCCAGCCCCTTAAATTAGTTCTTGGTATGACATTCTAACTAGACCCTCCACAACCTGGCTAGGGTCCACCTTAAAGCACTTTCAGTTCCCCACACATATCACACATATACACACATCAATACACACACACACACACACACACACACACACACACACACAGTTGCAGTGATCTCAGCATCCCTAAACACAACATATACTACGTCTCTCCACATTTTTTTTTTTTTTGTCCTCAAGCCCAGTATGATTTTTGCATAACCCTGGGAAACTAAAAAATGTTTCTTGAATAAGTAAATGCTGTTCCCTTTGGAATTCACTTTTGATGCGTTCACCTATTTGTGATCATATTCTTACCTTAACTCCTGCGAGCATACTATTTTTTCATGTAAACTCTTGCCTCCCCACACCTGCAGAATTAATGTCTCTCCCTATGTTTACAGCACATTATTTATACTTGTGTTACAAACAATATATATTAGAACATATAACATTTTCTTTGTACTATAAATTACATGTATATGATCACCATACTTACCAGACTGAAAACTTCTTAAAGGAAAGGATATTGTTTTGTTCACTTATATTGCTGCTACAGTTCCAAAAGCCCTCCTATTTCTGATTGCTAGAAGAAAACAGATGGGAGAGAGAGTCACTTGAGTCAGCATGAGGAATACATTTCTCTCCCCGTCCTCTTCCATTCCATGCCGGAACAGTTGAGACAAGCCCAAGCATCTTCCCCGCACTTCTTGGAAAATGAGCTCTTATGCACTTTGGGGAATTCTGTAATCTACAAAGCTGACTCTATTTTTAAGCCCATATTTGGAATATTCTAAGTGAAGTGGTTCCTAGGCACTAGATTTTATAAGTCCAGACCCTCTCTAGGTATGCTCCTGTGTCCTCATCTTCCATAGGGTCTCCCATCCCAACTTCATAGTGTTCAAGAATGCCATGTTTCTTACTTAGTAGTGAGATAATTTTCCCCTCCTTGGATACCCTCTCAATACAAACCTATGTTTTAAGTTATATAACAAGTAATATGCAGTGATAAATTAAGCCTATGTTTATAGTGTTATGTTGCTATCTCCCAACATAAATTTATTTTCATTTCTCAGTTCTTACTCAATAAATCCAAATAATACTTTCAGAATCTCAAAAGGATGTGGCAGAGGGAGTCTCAAAAGAGGAAATGAACCCTTCTCCAATCACTCTGTTCCATATCATCATTATCTGCTCCAAATTGCCTTCTGTGGGAGAGAGCTTCATAGCTATTTGAAACATGTTTGTCAAATTTTCAAGAATGTATGCCCCGAGTGAAGACAGACTCCATCCCCATAAACTATCAGTAATGCCTTAGCAGAGGTTCAATGGCAGATGTCTGAAAGCAAAAAGGGCCAGGAGGCCCCCTCCCTCTGTTCTGCCAAAGCCCCATGAGTCACTTAGAGATCAGTATCACAGGGAAGAAACCACACCAGCCTGACATTCAGATGGCTTTTGCCCTTCACAGCTGCAGGTCTTCAGACAAGACAATGACAGCTCCAAGATTCAGTTTCTCATTAAAAAAAAATGGAATCAACCCCTACCTCACAAGGTTGTTGGGAAAAAATCAAAAGATGTAGCAAGTATGTACAGTGTTTGGTTACCATGTTTATTATTGTTGCTACTTTCTAAATTTCTAGTAGTCTGAATTTTCTTAGCAGTCAGTTGCTACATTGTTTTTCAATCCCTTTCCTGTATGTTTTTCTACTTTATATAATGAAAATTTTCACATATATATAAAAGATGAAAGAACAGTATAACAGAAATAATCCAACTTGGACCATCTTACTTCATATGCATTCTCATTCATTTGCCTGTTCCCAGATAGGGCTATTTTAATGCGGTCAAGACAATATACCATTTCATCGGTATATATTTTAGTAGTTGTCTCTTTTAAGCTATTTTTAACATAACCATAATACCATTAGCACACATTAAAAGAAACAAAAATTTTTTAAACATTAGTCATTATTCAGACTTCCATATTTGCCTTACGATTTTTTTTTTAATAATTGATTCAGTCAAATGGAATCCAAATGGGGTAAGCTTCTTGCACTGGGTTAGTATGTTTCTTAATTGATTTCATTCTACACGTTCACCACCCTCCTTATCCTTTAAAACAAATGTGTTTTTTATTAAATCATTTGTCCTACTGAATTTTCCACATTCTGGATTCTGCTGGTAGTGTCTCTATTGTGTCATTTAACACATTCCTCTGCCCCTTGTACTGCAGGCCTGATCTCAATTTTTTGACAATGGACAGTACTATATCCATTTTTGTTTTTGTTTTGTTTAAATGCACAATTCTATGACTTTTAATATACTCACAGACTTAAGTACCCATCACCATAAATAATATTAAATATAGCCATTACATAAAAAGAAAACCTGTACCTCTTAGCCACACTCCCCAAATCCTTCACTTCAGCCCAAAGCAGTCCTAACCAAACATTTTCCTTTGTCTCTATAGATCTGCCTATTCTGGACATTTTATATAAGAGGAAGTATACACTATTTGATCTTTTGTAATGGACTTCTTTCAATTGCCATGATGTTTTAAGGTTCATCCATGTTGTAATGAGTATTAGTTCCCTTTTACGACCAAACAACATCCCATTATATGGATACAGAAGACTGGTTTATCTGTTCATCAGCTGCTGGCTATTTTGGTTGCTTTTAATTTTTGGCTATGCTTAATGATACTTTTATGAATATTTATGTACAAGTTTTTGTATAGACATATTTTCATATGAGTATATATCTAACAAATGGAATTGGTAGATCAGATAGTTCACTGTTTGAGGAACCACCAACCATTTTCCAAAGCCCTTATTGCATTTGACGTTCCCATCAACAGTGTAATGTTCCAATTTTTCCACCTATTTACCAACACTTGATTTATTATGTCTGTTTATTATAGCCATCCTATTGAGTGTGAAGTGGTATTTCATGGTTTTAATTTGCATTTCACTGATAGTTAATAATACTAAGTATTTGTTCGTAAATTTATTTCACAAATGTTACCTTTTACCCACATTTTAGTTTGGATTTTTTGTTTTGTTTTGTTTTTTGTTTTTGAGACAGGGTCTCACTATGCAGTTCAGGTTGGCCTTGAGTTCACTTTGTAGCCCTGGCTGGTCTTAAACTTGCAACAATTCTCCTACCTCAGCCTCTCAAGTGCTGGAATTACAGGCATGCGCCACCATGCCTGGCTTGGGTTGTCTTATTATTGTCTTTATTATTGAGTTGGAAAGGTTCCTTATATATTCTGGATAAAGTCCCTTAGAAAATTATGACTTGAAAAACTGTCTCCATTCTGTGGGTCTCCTTGGTGGTAGTCTTTAAAGCACAAAAGTTTTCAACTCTCATGATAGCTAGTTTATTGATTCTTTCCTTTGTTACATTTGCTTTTGCTATAAGATCTAAGAGAGTATTGCTTAATCCAAATTAATAGAGATCTAATCTTAGTTTTCTATAGTTTTATGGTTTTAGTCCTTACATTTAGGTTTATAATCCAATTTATAATCCAAGGTGGAGTTTAGCTTTTGTATGGATTGTGAGGTAAGGGATCCAAATTCATTCTTTTTGCATGTGCAGATATTCAACTGTCCCAGCAACATACAACAAAGGCTATTATTTCCCCATTTTTGTTATTCTGGCACTTTTGTTAAGAATTAAATACTTTTTTATTGCAGCACATTAGGAGGCACAAAATGCCTGATTGCTACTCTTCTTGCATTAAAATTGATTCAGCTTGAGATACCATCAGCCTGCATCATCCATTTTAAGGTTCCCATCAGCCTTTCATCTAACGATTTGAAGGTTATTTCATTTTGGATGGCAAAATAGTGACATTTCAAATCAATCACTCCTGTTGAAATTATTCAAAGCTGCAATGCTTCTATAATATTGACTGCTGAGAGTTCACTGTGGGTAAGATCCCCATGCATAGTGAGCTTTCCTCAGATGACCTCACTGAGATGCCACATTACAGGCCCTCGGAATACATGGGGTGGGAAGGGGTGCAAAGGTTCAAAGCTCGCGATGTCTGCCCCTGCCCTGTTTGTTCCTGGTCATTCCCCTAACTCGCAGACAGCACTCATGTTTCACTACCTCTACCTTCCTGCCTGGCATGTTCGTCATAACTGAACTGCTAACCCTTTTTCCACTGGCCCCTGCCAGCTGGCCCTATCTTCCCTGCCTGCTTATGCCAGGCTCCTTGTTTACATCCTTATCACTGCCCTCAGGCTGGCCTCAGAGCCCCAGGCACTTTGGCCAGGAGCACCCTCCCTCGCCTTCCACACTTGGGCCAAGACCCGAGAAAGAGGCCTTATCCAGCCAGAAAAAGACAATGAAGGGCTCCAGGGTGGAGATGCGTAACAACTTCATTTTCTCAAAGATACGTTTATTAATTTCATGTTCCTGTGTTCAGAAGAGAACATGAACATAAATCAAAACACAAGTGATGCGGGGAAGTACAATGAGAGGTCTCCGCTATTGCATACACTGTTAGAAATAGGACACTGGTATGCTGGAGGAGCCTAGGTAATCTGTTGGTATTGTGTTTTAGTTGGTTTTCATTTTTTTCTATAGAGAAAGGCAGCTAAGTATTAAAAAAAAAAGGCTTTGAGTCAAGCAAAACTTCTACTCATGACTTGGCCACCTACTAACTGAATGACACTGAACCACTTAAGTTCTAAACCCTTGAGCCTCAGTGTCCTCATCTGCAAAATGGGGAAGACTTTTCATGCACAGTGCTTGCAAGGATTAGCAATCATCACCAAGCTGCAGCCGCTGCTCTTAACTTTCCCCTCTTTCCTTTCAGCAGAGATTTTAGAATGTCATTACTTGTAAGACTAAGGTCACGCTAGCTTCAGGCAATGAGACAAGTACCTCCTGAAATCAAGATGACCCTTCTGATCTGATTTCTCTAAAGTATATTTTTCAGAACTACTGGAAGATATAGGAGTGATCTTGACTCATTTTCTGTGTACAAAAACTGACAGGAAAAGGTACTTTTTTTTAACAGATTCAAGGTCATTCCTCCAAATAAACAGATGGACTAGTAACAATTTAAAACAGAACTAAAGTGCCTATAATACATAATTTAGCGCCCTATCCTTCACTCACATCATGCCCAGTTGCAATGAACATTATTTGCACAAGAAACATGATGGACTCGTCACCAGCCAGGTCCAGGAGTAACTGATCCTAGATCCTCCTGTCAGCACATCCCACCCCCACCCTCTCACCCACCCACGCTAATAGTGTGGCCCTGCGTAAAGAATTCTGCCTGCCCAGGTCCCAGTTTTTTCATTTGCTAGATGGAATGACAAAAGTGACCTGGCAGAGTATCATGCGGCTTAATTAGTTAACAGCACACTGTAAAGATAACTTGAGAAGAGATGCTCTTATTTAATTAATGATGGTCATTGCCGGGATTCCTCCTCTCTTCTGTGCAAGCCCCCCAACTTTCATATATAATATCTGGGCTTATTCTGGCTACTTTAAAGTTTTCTCAGCCCCAAGAGGTGACGGGTAAAAGGTCTTCCCTGAAGCAAAGAGCTTTTTAGCAAAGAGCTTTTC